CATAAAAGAGGCCATATACATCAGGGCACTTCAACCATCGCTCAACCGGGACGGGGGGCGATATCGACTTCAGACAACCTTTGACCCTTTGCTGACTTCACACTTGGGAAAAACCACGTGTCCACAGCATTTGGGTCAGATAGCTGAGGGAGACTGAGTGATTCAGTCGAAAATTTCTGGTGAGTCAAATCTTCTATTGATATCATTGGTCTCGTGATTTGTAGAGAAAAAAATGACGTTCTTCACTGGATGAATGGCCTTCATCTATTGTATGAAAAAAGACGAAATGCTGCCAAACTAATGATGTATAGCAGTCAGCAATAGACTTTTCTACTAACTTCAACCACAGGTTCCGGACTTCCTTTTGACGTAGACAATGGAAGATGAAGATGAAGAATCCTTGCAGGGAGTTGAAGATGCAGAACAAGTAGGAAAAGACGAACCTTCCGTCACTGCAACACAACGAAATATCGATCTTTTAAAAAAATCGTTAGAAAATAAAATTGGTGTGGAAGTGATTCTTACTGATTTGATTTTATGGATTTTCTTTTAAGCACTTTTTGATTAAATCTCAATACATCGATATCAATAGCTAAGAGACCAAATTAAAAAAAAAGATTAGAGATCTTAATATTGCTTATGTTGATATTGCTTAATATTGATTATGTGGTTTTCGTCCTTGTCGGCTTTCTTCGTGACACTTATAATAATGTTCGTTAGCAATTTATAAGCAGTTCACGAATAATTTAACAGAAAATCTCTTCATGTGTACAGTTCTGAACTTTGGATCCTACCCACGTTTATTTGTCTAAACTGCAGATCCAAATCTCTAACGTAGTTACTCTTTACAGATCTGCCAGCTTCAGATCCAACTGCCTTACACGATCGATTTTACATAACTGCATTTCGGATCCTAACAAAAATCTCTTGCCTTATCATGCTCACAAATCCGACTGAAAAACGCATATCTGAATCTCTAACCCTATCAAGCGCGGCAATATGACAGATCCAGATTTCTAACCTGATCATGAAGAATCCAAAGATCCAGGTGAGTCCGACCAGCACCATGATGGCGATGGCGATACGCAGATTCTGCTTCGTCGCACCACTTCTGGGATGAGCGACTTTCCCTAGGAAAGTGGTGCATTTATTAAATATTATACATTTGCATATTTGCCTATTTGTTTTACATTTGCACTACAAATCGTGTAGCACGTTACTTAAAAGCCTGCACAAAAATGTGTGTTTGTGAGGGGAGGTGAGCTGTGTCAACTGTATAATCCGTCATATATACAATATTCCAAGTAGCAAGATAATAGTTTTTACCGCTCTGGAATTTACAGTATGAAAACTCATCCTGGACTTAATTCTCAGGAAATTTTGCAAAAACCTTATTCAGATCAAGTACAAAATTCAATAATATAGTATTGAATGCACGATTAAAGAAATTTCACCTAAAGAGAAAGAAAAAAATAGATAAAATGTAATTAAGACTTCGACATAACATTTTACATAATATTATTGTACATTGAAAGCATGTTTTCACAACTGACCATCGGTCCTCCCTCCACAGGCCAGCTTGCTGATGACGATGATGTACACAATGGTGTTGAACACCAGTACCAGTCCGGCAGGCAACAGGAAACCGTAGTACAGCTGGTTACCCTGCAGCCAGCAACTAGTCAGTAGGAACAAGAATGGCAAACATCACTTCCACATAAGTACCTGCACCTGAGTGGGTCTTTGATAGGTAACAGAGACAAATTTGCTAATATTTCCCTCGTTTAATATATAAAATAATGTCCCTGATTTACAGATATTTTGGAGTGAACATGCAGGAAACATATATTAAAAATATTACAGACAAAAAAATGCCTCTGATGTTTTCTTATTTCTTTTGCCTAAATTAAACTAAGTTCTTGTGCTTTATATTCTTTCTTTCATTTCAGATAGTGCAGACTAACATTTGGCATGAGTCGGCATAATCAATGGCGTATCAAACATGGTGGTTATGTCTGTCAATTTACTGAATGGCCATACCTGTCATTTGCAAACTTAAAGGGTATTATGTCAAATGAATTACAAGCGTGGAAACCCGATTATTTTGATACCATATCTTACACTCCGCACGGGGCCCGGGGCCCAGGTAAGGTAAGGTAACATCTTACACGCTAGTGCTCCTGTAGGTTCCCTGTCCATTAGGATAGGTGCCGGGGACATCCACAGCCAAAGTAGCGATGGCAATGACCAACGGAAGACCTGAAAGACATCAAAGATGAAGTTGCTCAATTTTAGCTATTCCTGCTAGTACGCTATTACTAGTATTGTCCTGTTCTACTACAATTGAATAAGGGCGGCGGCCGTGTTGGATTCCCATGCACGCTGAGTTTAACATGCAGTTTAAACGTTCTAAATTCCCTAGAAAGGATACAGCCAAGTGCAATCCAGCATCGCCGTGGTCTAGCCAGCCAGACTGGCTCAAAAAGTCTGAGGGAGTTAACCAATTCATGCAAGTTGGAAGCAAATTCTCGACAAAGTAAGCTGTTTTCTGGACGGAATATGTCGAGAGAAGGGGGAAACCTCAGCCAGAACTACAATTGGTTTCACATTTCCATGGTATTGACGCACAAAATGCACTAACTCAATACAATAGAATAAAGTTCAGTGTGGCAGTGCAATCTTTTAGTAAGAAGAGTATAAAAAGGCCAAACTATTCTGGTGAAGATACACGTCACTGTATTGTAAGCGAAATCAATGTGAAATTTTGTTTTCTAAAGGAAGTGTACTTACCCCACGCAAATATGGCTGCCTTGAGGATAAATCTGGAAACATGTGCCCCCAAGACTTTGATGAAAGCCAGATACATGTTGAAGGCTTCCACCGCCATCCACATGAACACAGCCAGGAGGAAGTAGTGCAGCAGAAACGCCACGATGGTGCAGCCGATTGGGGAGTGGGTAGCGTCGATGCCGGTCAGGAAGAGGATGAGAGTCGCCAGTAAGGCGATGCACAGGTTGGTGAGGATGTGCTGTGGTCTGGTCTTACGAAGCTGCCTAAAATATAGAGAAACTGGAGATTTCAGACTTTCGATATTTTTCTTTATTCGGTGCATTAGAACTGTATAATATGATCATCGAGGAATACCAGATTGAATTACTTTATAAAACTGATATTTACTTACATGACAGTACCCCGGTATTACACAACCATTTCATTTAGCACAAAACAGTTTCCTGGTTACCTCATACCACATCCTATAGCTACCACCCAGAGCATGTCTGGTCGGAAGTCTTGCTATGGAATGAAATCCTAACCCTTGTCCTGCTGGCATTCCTGGCACAATATTTTTCAATATTTTCATGTCTTAATTAGATAAAAAAAAACAAAATTTTTTTGCCCTGCAGTGGCATAGTTACTTCCGCATTCGTTGCGTTTCGCAGCGGTGTAATCCGTTGTACGAGAAATACCCCCAAATCGTACCTATGCAGGGTGTTATATAGATGGTACTGAATGTGCCGCGCAACATATGTTGCGCACAGCAGGACAAGGGTTAAGATACGTTATGAATACATACATGTAACATTAACACCCATGGAAACAAAGCGTTTTATGTTTTATCAGTGATATTGATCACCTAAATGACATAACGAGCCAAACAACTTACTTGAATATCAGGTAGGAGATAAGAGTGAGGGTCAGGCCTGTGATAGACACCACGATCCCGATCTTACTGATCAGATCCAGTAAAAAGCTGTGCAAGCCTCCATAGATGTCCTGAAATAAATATGATAATTCTGATCATCGTCAGAGTACAATCTACGATGACGATACTTTTGAGTTAAAGAGACGGAGAATGAAAACGTAACGTGATCCATGAGTTGCCCGTAATGCAGGAGGCAACTTGCAGCATTATGCCATTTCCTAAACAAAAGTCTTGGCATCCTCTACTCATGGGAACAATGAATTTTAAATGTCCTTGCCATGATTTTTACCTGCAGTATGATTTTACTTGGAGTATGATTGTGAATCCAGGGTTAGATCTTGTGATATGGCGAGTAAAGTAACACTTGCTCAACACTCCGCCTTGGCCGTGCAATGATCTGACATAAATATCGACAAACCTACCATCAAAACAGCGAAGTTGGTGAGATGGTTGCACTCGCACACCACCCTGCCGTTGTCTATCCCGGCAAAGGCACACCCCTCTGTCGACCAGGCGCCAACTCCTCCTTCTGCTTCAAAATCCCAGAAAACACACCTCATGTTGTTCACTGTGTTAGCCGTAATGTTTGGGACCTGTGATGAGATTGCAAGCATTTAAAGTTCTACCAGCTTTTTATTCCATTTTTTGGATGTCACTTTCTTCTTTTGTAGCGTATCATCTTTATAAATAGTCGAAGTAGTCATAGTCGAAGATTGCAGACTTCCGGCAAGTATTTTGGATTTTCATAATTCTTTTAAACCCGCCGAGACATCGTTACCCATATCAAGATTAGAACTGGGCTCAAGGTTTGGTCATGACTTCCTGGACTCGCCCATGATCGCAATCTCTAATTTCTGCTTGCTCCAGACGGGTTTTCGGGACACTGAAGTTTACTCGATTTCCTATGACCTTTTGACCACTTGTCATTCTGCCTGTCAATATTCACCCATGCATGCTATAACTCTTCCCAGAGAAACACACAGACAAATCCACCCCCAAAAAATTGCATACTCGAATATAACACACTTGAGAAAATGCAGTATATGTTCCCAAAATACTTTACGTAATGCATGGAATAAGATCTGCCAATAAGACAACAAAGGCGGTACTTTCTATTGATTTATATACTTACGAGAGGTAGGTATCTTGTCACTACTGGGTTGGAGAGATTCTTGAGCTCGATGCCAGTAACTTTACTAGCGATAACCCTGCTATTCACCCTGGTTTTCGTGCCGGGTGAGGTCTGGTTGGACTGGAACAATCGGCTGTTCAGATAGATGATGAAACTCAGACGAACTTCCCCGGCACTGGGATCTAGGGGAATAAAAAACAGGCAATGATAAATTTCTTTTAAAAACGGTCTTTAAAATATTGAGCAAGTTACGAATAATGAAAAAAAACTCAAAAATAGGTAGACTATGCAAACAATTGGCTGTACATTAATATTTCCCGAGATAACCCTATTACTTGAGTTTTCTATTTGTTAGCATATTCATATGTATTGGTTAGTATATTTCTGCGCCAAGGCATTTATTATTGGTTCCTTCATTTACAGAAATAAAGGAGAATCAACCAACCGGATATATTTCTCTTCTTGAAGGCAGTGGCAGGCAAGACAATGGAAGCATCCACTTGATCAGTGGGGATGGAGGAGGAGTCAGAGTAGGATCGTACCAATCCGTCCTCAAGATCCTCACTGCCATCAAGGAATGCAAAACCAACACTGCAAATGAAAAGAGGCACCTTTATTTCTCTATGCTGATTTTGTTTCGTTTGTCATAATTTCAGCATAATTTGTAAGTTTTATTTATTATCATTATTGCTAAAAGTAATTATTATTATTGTTATTTATGTTATGTTGCTGGACTCCAGCAAGAATAGTATGGAGTTTACCATACTAATGGAGATCTCAAAAAACAAACAAACTTTAGGAGGCACATTGAATTTCATAATTATGTTGCATGCAGTGTCAGTCGGCTTCGGAAATCTGTGACCATTTTCTGAAGGGATAGACAGATAATAAACAGTTCATTCAATTCTGCCCCAGGAAAGGCTCTGTGTCGTCCTCTATAGCTTGACGTTGCTGATACTGTGTTAAGTATACAATCAGTATACATTTATAATGTAAGGGACATGCTCATTCAACCATAGCTAGCAGTCGAAATAAGAGATGATTAAGACCATATTATTGACACTGCAGTAGCAAAACCTAGCTGTGGTGTGTAGAAGAACTCAGAATGGCCCTGACAAAGATAACAGGCAGTCAACGATAAGTTGGCTTGTAGACTACGTGGTTGTAATACATAAAAGTCATACCAACCTGATGAGATCATTTATGGATGTATCGTTACCTGTTAATCACTTCTGCTGCCTGAACCTTGTAGGTTTCCACACCTATGTTTTTCTCAATGCGACGGAAACGATTTGATGTCAGATTTACGCGATCATTAAACTGCTCAATCGCCCGTACAATTCTGCAAAAACAACGAAACGTCAGTTGTGCAAAAATGGAATATTCAGTACTAAGAGCCATCAAAATTTTACAGTGTACTAGTTAAAAAAAAAGAAAGCAAACATCCATATAATGAAATGTCGATTCCCTCTTCAGCTTTGACGAAACAGTACTTTACCATACATTTACCTTTATCACTTTAGAATTGACAATTATCTCTCAACGACACATTTCAAGGATCAACATATTCCAATCTTGAAAGAAATCCCGTTAAATAATTCATCAAAAGTATACCTACCTAGAGAGAGACTGATCATTAACTTGACTTTGTTGGAGAACGTCATCATCAGTGTTCATGATCTGATCAACAGACACAACCACGGAATAGCCAACCTGTAAGTTCAAGCAGATATGAGGTTTGACTAAAGGTCGACTAAACCATTGTTCAAAGAACATTTTTGTTGTACAATTGTCGTGTTCTTCTAATATGCAACCTTTATTTTTTCTAACACGTGTTTTGTCAACTCGTGTGGAAACTCCATGACGTTGGAATCTAGGATGGCAGAAGACAATTGCTAAAAAAAGGGACCGTCTACGTTCCTGTGCACCTGACCTTAAGTGATTCCTAACTCTAGAATGGAGTTTGCAGGATTTGTAATTATCGTTTTACACGTTAGTGGCCTTGTTATAAGTCGTTAAAATTTCAGTTCATTGACAGAAAACACCTCAGAATATATGGAAAACTAAAAGCTATCTATGCCTCTAAAGCGTCAGCAAAAATATGAGACCGACATTCTCGTCTCCTGTGGTGTTTACGAGGTTGTCCAGGACAGTGGAGGCATCTGCGATGTTTTCCGCCATAAGTGAACTCCCAACAGACGTAAGGATCTGTAAGTCTGCAGCAACTTCTGCTACATTATCTGGAGTTACAGGGACCTGGAAACACAAGACTGCATTAAAAATTTAAAGTAAAATGCTGTTTCAATGGTTTGGAAGCACGAACTGTATTGTTGTATTTCCGTGTAATTCCGGTGTTAAATTAACCGTCAACAAGTAATATTTACAAATCCATTAACCCTATCTAGACCGGGCTTTTTTTAGCAAGATTTGACCGGGGGGGGGGCTCTTTTGACCCCCCCTCAGAACTCGCTAACGGTATGTCGTATGACTACCAAATTTTCAGAGGATGGTGTACTAGTAAAAATTTATCATATCTACAATTTTTTGTCATTATGACGTAATATGACGTCATTATGACGTCATTAATTTGATTTTATTGGCCAAAACCGTCTAGATAGGCTATTCCCTGAAAACTAAATGGTATACAACATAACTTTAACAAAAGTGTTTATGACAGAATATTAAGTCTTATGTTGGCCATAGCAACACCGGTGACGTCATAAAATGACGTCATACATATTTAAGATATCCGCCATCTTGGATCATCAATGTTGAATTTTCAAAAATAGTTTTTTTTTCGTGATAAAGCCTAAAATACATTGTAAACATACTAAATACCTTCATTTAAACCTTTTTTGGAAAAAGAAATGGAAGTATTGATGAAATTTTAAGGAAAATAACCTGTATATACCTGTTCTAATGATATGGTCCGCCATCTTGGATTTTGGCCAATGACGTCATCAAATTAGCATAAATTATGCATATTTAATGATAAAATTTACATGAAATTACATGGGATGTTAACCCTATTCAGATCGGGCTTTTTTTGGTCATCATGACTAGGTTTTTGAGGCCCGCCCCCTCATCACAGCTCATTTGACCCCCCCCCCCAGAACTCAAGAACGGTATGTCGTATCCCGTACAAAATTATATGGGATGTTATTAATATTAGAAATCATGAGTAACTTGACATAAAACCCATAAAATTCTATTGTTAGAAAACAAAAAATTACT